AAGGCATTTGATAGTATCTCGCACGATTATTTGTTCGCGGTTTTGAGGTGAATGGGGGTGGGGAAACAGCTTATTGACTGGATAAGGAAACTATATCATAAGTTCACAAGTAGCCTGCTAATAAATGGAGTCCTCTCGGAAGGGTTTCCAATTGGGTCCGGTGTGCGGCAGGGGTGCCCGATGTCGCCGGTGTTATTCATAATGTGCATGGAGCCTTTTGCCCAGGCTGTCAGGGGAAGCCGGCTGATTAGAGGGGTGAGCATGCCAGGGTGTGCGGAACCAGCAAAAATTGCAACGTATATGGACGATGTTGTCATTTTCTGTGGGAATGTTGCTTCGGTATGGGAGGCCCTAGGACTTGCGGATAGATTATTTTTGGCCTCAGGATTAAAGGTGAATGTAAGCAAAAGTGAGTTGCTGATATTCGGTGACCCCAGGTTATTTGAGGGCCGCCCGCCAGGTATAACGGTCCTGGTGGAGGGGATCAATCTTAGGAGTCACGTTCTATAGGGAGGACTCTGCGGCTAAGAATTGGCGGGGAAAAAAGTGCATGGTGAGAGGCAGGCTGGCTGGTTGGGCAGACAGGTGCCTTTCAATGGAAGGTAGAATGTTGGTCTTGAGGGTGGAAATCCTCCCGGTACTTATCTACCTGGCCTACGTGTTCCCGCCGGGGGCGCAAATGGCAAAAAGGTTGGAGCGCCTGTTCTTCAAGTTCATCTGGGGGGGAGGGATGGACCGAGTGAAGAGAGAAACAATGTACAAACGTGCCGAGAACGGTGGGAGGGGGGCCCCGAATGTCACGTGCATCCTCGACACGATTTTTGTCTGTAATACGCTGCGACTATATTTCTCCAATGGGCTCCAGGTGAAAGCCTCGTATTATGTTCTGTACAGACTGGCGTGGCTCCTGAGGCGGCTAAGCATGGCGTCGTTGCCGCGCGGCACCCCCCTGGCTTGGCCTCAGGGGTGGTTGTGCACCGCGGTAAGTGAATACATCACGAAGTACGAGCCGGACCGGACACGGGGGTCGTGGGTTCCCAGGGAAGTCCTGGCGGAAATGTCGAAAAAGGAGGTCTGCACAGAGGTGCCAGGTGCTCGGGGTACCCGGGCCCGACAAATTTGGGAAAATGTAGCATCGGCAGCCCTGACGAAAAGGCAGCGGGACTTATCCTGGCTGGCTGCATGGGACAGGCTGGAGTGCAGGCTATTTATGTGTTCCCGCAGATTGGCCCGCTCTCCTGATTGCCCGAGAGGCTGCGACCTGGGAGAGAGCGCTGCTCATGCCCTCGTACAGTGCCCATTTGCCCAGGAGGTGTGGGAGTTAAGTCGACCCCTGCTGTCCCATTTTTGCCCCGTAAAGGCCACAGCGCCTAATATGATTTGGGGTATGTTCAGGCAGAGGGCGGGTGAGGTCTGGGCTCAGGCATGGGCCGTCATAGGTGCCGTAAAAGAGGCCCTGTGGACGACGCACCAGAAGCTGATTAAGGGTGTCTATATGTCGCCTCCCGAGGTATACCGACTAGCCAGGGGGCTGTTAGAGAGGGTGGTGGAGGTGGAGCGGGCGACAACGGGCACAGCAGCCACAAACGCGAAGTGGCGATGGCCACCACCCAAGTGCGGGATAGGCTGAATTCGAAACGACCCCCCCCCCCCCTTCGACGAGAATGGGTGGATGAACGTACCCCCCCCCCCTTCCTCCGTTGCGACGGTGACTTCTTGTTTTTTTCTGAGTAAAGGATGTGAAAGAGGGGAACTCGATCGCGGCGTACTCGGTGCATCGGCTGTAAAAAGGATCCCCTGTTCCCGTTACGTTCATGTGGTTTTTCCGGTCTTTTGCTGTTATTTTGGCTGTACAAGGCAGAGGCCTGCTCTTGATTGAAAGGAAATAAAAACCCTAAATCGCATCGCAATTACCAGCGAAACGTCGTATTCAAATTGTAAATGTTGTGGTTTCGCGCTTCAACACACCGGTGGGCTAAAGCAGTGAACTAATTTGTCTTTTGTCAACGTGACACTTTTTTACTGATTGGCCGTGTCGGGTGGTGGAGGGTTACGACACATTTATAAATAACGCGATCTAAACCCAAAAACGTTGATTATGAATAAATGTGTCATTTATATAAATGTGTCACAAATCTGGCTGTCGCCTGATGATGCTAGTTGTAATTACTGGAGAAACGTCGTACTCGAATTATGCCGTACTAGTAAGAAACTGGCATGTTTCGTTTACGTGACAAACCTTAATAATTGACTGTGTCGGGCGGTGCCAGGTTTAACGACGCCATTATATTTACGCGATATAACCCAAAAAAACCTCTTATGGATACTGTCTACAGTAGTCAATTATTAAGGGTTGCTCATATCCACTGCTTTTAAAGTGTTAACAGCAGTGGTGGCCAATATGTGGATCGATATTCATGGGTGCATCAAAGGACAAAGAACAAACATTAACTTAAGCAGATATAGTGGCATGTAATTTATGTGTGAACTTCCTTTGCACCGTACGTATCCAACCGTGCTAATTAGAGTTTGCAATTAGCTTAAAATATCAAAACAGCTGAAGAGACCGAAAACAAAAAGCTAATATGCAGCCCAGAGTAAGCTCTCTGACTCTAATTTTTATTTATTTGTTTTTATTCTGCCTTTTTCATTATATTTTCCCTTTACATACGTGTTCTTTAACACGCAGGCTTTCACGACCAATATTATTCAAAATAAAAGTTTTTGGATTAGATCGCGTTATTTATAAATGTGTCGTAACCCTCCACCACCCGACACGGCCAATCAGCAAAAAAGTGTCACGTTGACAAAAGACAAATAGTTCACTACTTTAGCCCACCGGTGTGTTGAAGAGTGAATCCACAACATTTACAATTTTTGAGTACGACGTTTCGCTGATAATTACATCCAGCATCATCGGGCAATTCGCCAGAATGATTCTGGCTCTTTAACACGTAGGCTGATTCTGGCGAATTGCCCGCTGATGCTGGATGTAAATACCAGCGAAACGTCGTACTAAAAAATTGTAAATGTTGTGGATTCATTCTTCAACACACCGGTGGGCTAAAGTAGTGAACTATTTGTCTTTTGTCAACTTGACACTTTTTTGCTGATTGGCCGTGTTGGGTGGTGGAGGGTTACGACACATTTATAAATAACGCGATCTAAACCCAAAAATGTTTATTATGAATACGTATTCTTATTGTCATGCAAATGTTTTCGCATTTTCTTCTCTCAATTCAACGCATCAATAATTTTATTTCCGGCCTCTCGCACTTCCCCTCCCATCCCAACCATCTCCTTCCCTCCTCTCAACCACACTCCTGCTTCCTCTGCCCTCCACCGAAGTGTCACCTTTGACTCCTTCACTTTCTTTACCCACATCTCCGCTACTACTTAGCAATCTACCGCTTTCTTCTGTTCGACAACAGGACAATCGGCCGTCTCAACCTGCCGCCAAACTCCTGGTTCCTCCTCTGATCTTCAACCATCGGGACTCCTGCAGCTCTCTGCTTCTTGGTCTCCCTGCCTCTGCCCTCACTCCCCTCCAACAAATTTAAAATGCTTCTGCGTGAAGTTATTTTCACTGCGCTTTAATTCTCATTACTTGGCCTCTCCTACTCCTACTTCACTGGCTTCACGTCCACTACACCGCTCTCTTTTCAAATAACTCACGCTAAGTCATTACATGTCTCCATTGCCTTGCTCAACCTCATCTCGCCTTTCTCATCTCTTTCTGCGTCCTCTCTCATCCTCTTCATTCCAAATCTGCTCTCCGTCTCTCTGTTCCTCCTTCTCCCTGTGCCCAATTCCCGTCTTCGGTCCTTCTAACCTCCTTGCACCCCTCCACTGGAATAAACTACCCCTGTACATTGAGCAGTGCTGCCCATAGACACAACACTGCACCAAAGACTCAGCACGCCCATAGACTCAATGCTGCCCGTAGACTCGACACTGCCCATAGATTCGATACTGCCCGTAGACTCTACACTGCCCATGGACTCGACACTGCCCATAAACTCAACACTGCCTCTGTACATTAAGGAGTCCCCCTCCGTAACATCCTTCCATTCCTCTCTTAAAGCCTCACCTCTTCTGTTGTCCATTCCCTTCCCTCGCCCCTCCGCTCCTTCCAGTCCATTCCATACGCTAAGTACCCCTCTATCGCTGTCACTTATTCCTCAATCCTTGAAGCACGCACCTGCCAACTAGAGGGACTCCTCTACTTACAAAAGAGTTAGGTTCCAGAAGTCTGTTCGTAAGTCTATTTGTTCGTAAGTCCAACTTTACTTCTGTCGATTCAAAACATGTTGTACGGCATGTACACTAAACACAGGGAATGGCCTTAAAAGTTGTAGATTCTCCTCTAGATGTAGACGACAGTGGTTCTTCATGTTCTGCAGATGTAGATGCCACCACCGTTATCTATTGCGCAGTGGTTGAACGTATAACTATCGGTCCAAATAGGTAACTGGACATACGGACAGGTTTGTGAGTATCTCTGTAAGTTCTTGAGTCGAATGTTTGTAAATAGTGAAGTCCCTGTACTTCATTTCTTTCTGTCATCGTTTTGTAAGCTATGTCAAGCACATTGAGTGAAAGCGCTCTATAAATATACATTAGATTAGAATGTGTCATGTGCCTTGAAGCTTGCAGCATAAAAGCAAATATAAATAATGAATGTTATTATTTCCTACAAATTATCTTCCAGTTGTATAATCAGTGTCGTATCATCAAGCGAACACACATTGCTGTTGGACATCTCACAGTGAGCATAACACGACTCTTGCGTCAAAGAACGGCCCCGGAAGATATCATCACAAAACTACTTCTGCAGTTACTGAAATATGCCTCTTCAGCCACAATAAGGTCACATCTCAAACATGGTAGGAATTAGCGCTGGATTATGACGACACATAACATACAGGGGTTGTGTTTAAATGTAAGTTAATGACCCATGTAAAATAAATGACAAACGTCGTGTGCCAACAACACCTTACCTGAAGTCTGTAAACGAGAGCCTGATTTGTTTGTTTGCTGGAGAGTGGATCAGCCAAGTACAGTTTTCATAGTTGTCATAGACATTGGGGTAGTTTGGTGATGATATGACTCCACTGGTCTCATTTAACTGTTTTCTACAAACAGATGCTGAAAAAAGACAAAAACCTTTAACGGCAAGCCTAATAGAGCACATTCAGTTGTCTAACCATACAATACATATGAGTGTGTACAGTATAAATATACCAGAAGCAGGCAGTATTTAAATACAAATTAGATATTTTCTAGATAAAATAATAAAAAAACCTCTCATTTGTAAAAGACTTGAGTGCGATTGTCAAGTATATCATCACAGATAAGTGAAGATGTATTGTATTATAGTTCTCTTGTCTATATTTGGTTGAGAAAAATCGAGTGACAGGAACTATATTTGTGATCCCTCTCTAAAGTGCTTTGCTCTATTTAAGACCACCAAACCCCACCTATATAAAACACAAAACATTACACATTTAAATGTATAAATTGCAATACGAATTTGAATTTATGCCTTGTCCAAGAACGTCAGGACAGGTGCAGAACAATGGGAATATTTTTTACGGAGAGACAGTTGGTCATGGACAGAGGAAAAAGGAAAGTCTTGAGCCTGGACTTGAACAGCGGGCAGGGAATCGACGGCAGAGGAGGGAATTCTCGTCAATGAGGGCAGTGGAGAGGAATGAGCCCACCTCGTTATCATTACGTAAACATTTATAGCGGTAGCCAAAGACTCTAAATGCATGTTTCTAAATGTGATGGTTTTGGTTTTTGATCATCGGTGACTGTGCTGAGACCACTAACTCACTACACCTGGAAACCCGGCTCCATCATGGACGGCTGCCTGGATTCCCACTGAGGATCTCATCAGTGTTCGCTCAGGGCTCTGACTTGGGCCATGTGGTGGCCACTTTTCATAACCAGGCGTTTTTTTAATATACCCGGGCGATACGCAATGGCAGTTATTTTACCGAGTAAACTATTTGAGCGAAATGCATTCATAATGATTATACAGTCTGTTCTAGAACGCTGTAGTAGTTGTGTAACAAAGAAAACGTGGGTAGCATCTAGAATCATCCAGCAGCATCCCACCTTGTGTGATGCTATGCCGAGGCAGCCATACGACCACGTATTCCTACTCACGTGACGTAATTCAGTTCACTCAATTGCGTTATATTCAATTTGCGTTACGTAAACACGCGGCGTTATAGGAGAACGGACTACTGTTCATTTCTCTCCCATCTCTTTCATAGCGTCCCTCTGAATAGATGCATATATTCTCTTCCGCGTCTTATAAAACATATATTCTCTCATCTTACTCCACCTGTCTTATTTCATATTGATCGGGAGCTGTCACTCAAGGTGCTTAAAATAGTAAAAATCAAACGGTGACAAAATAGAATCGTTCAGATGGCAGGGGCGTGCAAGGGTTGAGTATTGAGTGAGCATTATAGGGGGTGCTTCGGGGTCACGAAAGGGTAGTAGGTATGACATTTCTCTCTCTTGTCTAATTATTTTGCTAATCTTAATACTTTGCTAAAGCTGGTCTCTCTTCTATCATCTTAAATATCTCAATTTTTTATTTATTTTGTTGACGTCTACTCCTTTATCTCTACTGGCTATCTGTCTTCACTTATCTCACTGCATTTCTCGCACTATTCTCTCAATTCCCAAAAACGTATCGATTCACTTACACGTCTTAAATCAACGTCCTCGGTGAACAGCTGTGTAAGTGTTAAAATGTTAAACAGGCAAACAACATGAGGACGTACGGCCACTGAAACGCTGAAGTTGCACTTACTCTCATAATATGCACTGAACCCTGTGTATACGACGCTGCCGTCAGACGTGAATGTGACGTACAAGTCGCTTCCAGATGAATTCAGGGCTTGGGGCATAGTGAAGCCAGTAAATCTACCCAATTGGGGGTAATCTCTTGAAGGTCCATCGTACACCGTCACATAGTCAAAATTTTGCTCAAGTCTGGGAAAGAAACAGGTAAAGTTAACATTCGTGTTATTAGGAATAATTATGCTGTATACTGTTTAAAATGTAGGCTTTCGCGACCAATATTATCCATAATAGGTATTTGGGTTAGATCGCGTAAATATAAATGTGTCATTAATATAAATGTGTCACAAATCTGGCTGTCGCCTGATGATGCTAGTTGTAATTACTGGAGAAACGTCGTACTCGAATTATGCCGTACTATTAAGAAACTGGCATGTTTCGTTTAAGTGACAAACCTTAATAATTGACTGTCAGGCGGTGCCAGGTTTAAAGACACCATTATATTTAAGCGATCTAACCCAAAAAAAACCTCTTATGGATGCTGTCTACAGTAGTCAATTATTAAGGGTTGCTCATATCCACTGCTTTTAAAGTGTTAACAGCAGTGGTGGCCAATACGTGGATCGCTATTCATGGGTGCATCGAAGGACAAAGAACAAACATTAACTTAAGCAGATATAGTGGCATGTGATGTATTTGTGTTGAATTTCTTTTTCACCGTACGTATCCAACCGTGCTAATCAGAGTTTGCAATTAGCTTAAAAGATCAAAACAGCTGAAGAGACCAAAAACTAAAAGCTAATATGCAGCCCAGAGTAAGCTCTCTGACTCTAATCTTTATTTATTTGTTTTTATTCTGCCTTTTTCATTATATTTTCCCTTTACATACGTGTTCTTTAACACGTTGGCTTTCACGACCAATATTCAAAATACAAGTTTTTGGATTCGATCGCGTTATTTATAAATGTGTCGTAACCCTCCACCATCCGACACGGCCAATCAGCAAAAAAGTGTCACCTTGACAAAAGACAAATAGTTCACTACTTTAGCCCACCGGTGTGTTGAAGAGTGAATCCACAACATTTACAATTTTTGAGTACGACGTTTCGCTGATAATTACATCCAGCATCATCGGGCAATTCGCCAGAATGATTCTGGCTCTTTAACACGTAGGCTGATTCTGGCGAATTGCCCGATGATGCTGGATGTAAATACCAGCGAAACGTCGTACTAAGAAATTGTAAATGTTGTGGATTCATTCTTCAACACACCGGTGGGCTAAAGTAGTGAACTATTTGTCTTTTGTCAACTTGACACTGTTTTTCTGATTGGCCGTGTTGGGTGGTGGAGGGTTACGACACATTTATAAATAACGCGATCTAAACGCAAAAATTTTTATTATGAATACGTATTCTTATTGTCATGCGAATGTTTTCGCATTTTCTTCTCTCAATCCAACGCATCAATAATTTTATTTCCGGCCTCTCGCACTTCCCCTCCCATCCCAACCATCTCCTTCCCTCCTCTCAACCACACTCCTGCTTCCTCTGCCCTCCACCGAAGTGTCACCTTTGACTCCTTCACTTTCTCTACCCACATCTCCGCTACTACTTAGCAATCTACCGCTTTCTTCTGTTCGACAACAGGACAATCGGCCGTCTCAACCTGCCGCCAAACTCCTGGTTCCTCCTCTGATCTTCAACCATCGGGACTCCTGCAGTTCTCTGCTTCTTGGTCTCCCTGCCTCTGCCCTCACTCCACTCCAACAAATTTAAAATGCTTCTGCGTGAAGTTATTTTCACTGCGCTTTAATTCTCATTACTTGGCCTCTCCTACTCCTACTTCGATGGCTTCACGTCCACTACACCGCTCTCTTTTCAAATAACTCACGCTAAGTCATTACATGTCTCCATTGCCTTGCTCAACCTCATCTCGCCATTATCATCTCTTTCTGCGTCCCCTCTCATCCTCTTCATTCCAAATCTGCTCTCCGTCTCTCTGTTCCTCCTTCTCCCTGTGCCCAATTCCCGTCTTCGGTCCTTCTAACCTCCTTGCACCCCTCCACTGGAATAAACTACCCCTGTACATTGAGCAGTGCTGCCCATAGACACAACACTGCACCAAAGACTCAGCACGCCCATAGACTCAACGCTGCCCGTAGACTCGACACTGCCCATAGATTCGATACTGCCCGTAGACTCGACACTACCCATGGACTCGACACTGCCCATAGACTCAACACTCCCTCTGTCTATTAAGGAGTCCCCCTCCTTAACATCCTTCCATTCCTTTCTTAAAGCCTCACCTCTTCTGTTGTCCAGTCCCTTCCCTCGCCCCTCCGCTCCTTCCAGTCCCTTCCATACGCTTCCGTGAACCCTAAGTACCCCTCTATCGCTGTCACTCATTCCTCAATCCTTGAAGCACGCGCCTGCCAACTAGAGGGACTCCTCTACTTACAAAAGAGTTAGGTTCCAGAGGTCTGTTCGTAAGTCTATTTGTTCGTAAGTCCAACTTTACTTCTGTCGATTCAAAATATGTTGTATGGCATGTACACTAAACACAGGAAATGGCCTTGAAAGTTGTACATTCTCCTGTAGATGTAGACGACACTGGTTTTTCATGTTCTGCAGATGTAGATGCCACCACCGTTTTCAATTGCGCAGTGGTTGAACTTATAACTATCGGTCCAAATAGGTAACTGGACATAGTATCTCTGTAAGTTCCTGAGGCGAATGTTTGTAAATAGAGGAGTCCTTGTACTTCATTTCTTTCTGTTATCGTTTTGTAAGCTATGTCAAGCGCATTGAGTGAAAGCGCTCTATAAATATACATTAGATTAGAATGTGTCATGTGCCTTGAAGCTTGCAGCATAAAAGCCACTATAAATAATGATTGTTATTATTTCCTACCAATTATCTTCCAGTTGTATAATCAGTGTCGTATTATCAAGTGAACACACATTGCTGTTGGACATCTCACAGTGAGCATAACACGACTCTTGCGTCAAAGAACGACCCCGGAAGATATCATCACAGAACTACTTCTGCAGTTACTGAAATATTCCTCTTCAGCCACAATAAGGTCACAACTCAAACATGGTTGGAATTAGCGCTGGATTATGACGACACATAACATACAGGGGTTGTGTTTAAATGTAAGTTAATGAACCATGTAAAATAAATGACAAACGTCGTGTGCCAACAACACCTTACCTGAAGTCTGTAAATGAGAGCCTGATTTGTTTGTTTGCTGGAGAGTGGATCAGCCAAGTACAGTTTTCATAGTTGTCATAGACATTTGGGTAGTTTGGTGATGATATGACTCCACTGGTCTCATTTAACTGTTTTCTACAAACATATGCTGAAAACAAAAAAAACTTTAAATGCAAGCCTAATAGAGCACATTCAGTTGTCTAACCATACAATACATATGAGTGTGTACAGTATAAATATACCATAAGCAGGCAGTAGTTAAATACAAATTAGATATTTTCTAGATAAAATAATAAAAAAAACTCTCATTTGTAAAATACTTGAGTGCGATTGTCAAGTATATAATCACAGATCAGTGAAGGTGTATTGTATTAGTTCTTTTTATATTTGTTTGAGAAAAATCGAGTGACAGGAACTATATTTATGATTCCACCAAACCCCACCTATATAAAACACTACACATTTAAACGTATAAATTGCAATACAAATTTGAATTCATGCCTTGTCCAAGAACGTCAGGACAGGTGCAGAACAATGGGAATATTTTTTACGGAGAGGCAGTCGGTCATGGACAAAGGAAAAGGAAAGTCTTGAGCCTGGACTTGAACGGCGGGCAGAGAATCGACGGCAGAGGAGGGAATTCTCGTCAATGAGGGCAGTGGAGAGGAATGAGCCCCCCTCCTTATCATCACGTGAACATTTATAGCGGTAGCCAAAGACTCTAAATGCATGTTTCTATATGTGGAGGAGGGAAAAAAACCGGAGATCCAGGAAAAAAAATCCACGCCACTACGGAGGGAGAGAGACATGCAAACTCCTAATATAGAGCAGGCGTCATGGTCGGAATCGAACCCACGACCTCCTGTATGCCAGGCAAGGTAGTTAACATCTCGCAGCCGCGACTGGAGGCTTAAAAGCAGGACACCTTGGTGGCTGTAGCAGACAGCGCATGGAGGGGAGCAAAGCGAGATGAGGAAGGAGCGAGTCTATTGAGGATTTTGAAGACGGTGAGTGCAATCTTGACGTTTGAGTAATACCTTCAAACCTTCCACTAAATGTTGCATTTTTTCGCTGAAGCCCTGGAAGGTAAATGGCAACGACAGGACTGCCTTGCAGGGTCATGTTTATGGACCCGATGCGGCAGAAATATCTCTGCATATCCAACTGGGTGCCGTATCTATTTGCCATTACTGCACCCACCATATTGCTCGAGGAGCAACCCTCCGTGCCGTTCTGCTCTGATGGGCTGTAAAAGATGCAACGCAACAGCGGCATTAGCGACAGAAACAGGGTGAGACCTCAACTTAAAGCACTTCACATGGATGTGTTCCTCACATCTGCATTCATAATCGTGGTTCTGGCGTGAGTTGAATAAAACAAACCCGCTTAATTCCAGGAAAATTCGGAATTTATCGTTGTAGCTGCCATTGATAGCCCACAGGCAGAAGTCATTGTCACTTTGTGAAACGTGGGGGGTCTCCAGGCGTCCTTCAGAGGCACTGATGAATTCGTAGCACGGACGGGGAGCTAAAAAACACAAGAGGCTGGCATCATGCGTTTTGATTTTATCACGGAAATTATACGACATTTTAAAAGGGAATTACCATTCATGGCAAGCACAAATTTTGTAATTCATGGCAAGCACAGATTACTAAATAAATCACATTCGTCAATAACACTATGGCCTTAAAAGTAAAATATATAATAGGTGACGTTTTTACGGAAATGGCCTTTGTTCAAAGCACACAAATAGAGAGGCAGAGAGATGGAATGGATATAAGTTGGAAACTGCATTCTGAACCATTTTAGCATCAAAGGGGCTGGCAAATCAGAATCTTTACTTAGACTGGCGGAGGAATCCGATGAGCTATGAAGCTCTTTTTCACAGATGTCCAGTATAGGCACAAGGTCAGCAAATGATCAGTGGGACGTTTTAAAGTCTTTTTGATCCGAACATTGATTGACAGCCTCTCTAATTATATTTAAATGACAATCGGGCCCCTGAAATGCATCGCGAAATGGATTACTTGGACAGTGGTACGTTTAACCTCATTGCAAAAATCGGTACCCATCATGGAATGTACCTTCAACATTTTATATTTTTTTCCCTTTTAATACAAATGAGTGTTGTTTGTAATACGTTTATGTTTATTGAAGGATTTGTTAATAAATAGGTACTAATAGGTAAATATTGAAATGCAAATTTAAAAAAACATTCAATAAACATATGTTATTTGTATCAGGCCTCATGTTGTAAAGGGAAGTCCCCAACCCTTATCCACTCTCTCTGGCCTCACTATTTATGTGCTCTGAATGCCAATTTCCTGAAACATCATCAAGTACATTTCCTTTTAAGACCGTGATATCGATGAATGTGATAAGAGGGTTTTCCCCTTTTTTATGGCAACAAAACAAGTGTTAAGATGTAAAAACACCAAACTGAAACTTTTTGCAAGGAATCATGTCTGCATTAACCACAATGCTTGTGGTCAGAATACAAACAAAAACATACTCTGATAATATATGCATTGTCCTTGAAACTGATTAGTCTGCAATAGAGTGGGCCCATGTGAAGGCTGCCATCTTCAACTTGGTTAAACACTAAGACTGCCAATTTAGTTGTATTGATTACCACAATCATAATGTTGATGTATTTGTTATCCTTTCTGTATGTCTCGCATCCACAAAAAGGGCATCTCGCATCTCCAGGGGTTGCGTGCATCCCATGTTAAGAACAACTGATGCATGCATCTGAGCGTGTACAATATATCTGAATGAGCACGTTGTGTTCAAATGAATTATGGAGGTGTGTGTATGGATGGCTGTCTGTGTCAGCGTGTCTGCGGGGATCTACGTTGGACGGATAATTGGTAAACCGGCAATTATTTTAGAATCGTTTACCGGTTTCGGCAAGTTAGCTAATATGAATACAAAGAAAGATGCAAGAAAATGTGACAATCCCGTATTGAGCTGAATACAAATTGTTGAACTAACCTTGAGGGCATTCTCCATCAGACAGGGTTACATTGTCTATGCCTACGAGGGAGATTTCTTGCATGTGTGTGTCGGCCACGAACTCAAGCTGCAATGAGAATGCACAAACACACGTTGCCGTGAGTGTACACAGCAAACCCTCTCTATTCGCGAGGGTTACCTCCTCAAACGCATTTGCGAATGCGGAATTCACGAACGCAGAAAGCTTGTTCCAGTGGGAAAAATTGGGTTATGTTCCTGGTACGAGTGAAGATATGGGGGGGAGGGGAATTGTCAATGTTTAATTACGACTGCAACAAACAATAACGTGTTTTTTTAAAATAAACTTTGATGATGATGACTATGAAGGTGGTGGTGGTGATGGTGAGGAATTCAGGAGGATGACCTATCGGAGGTGCAGGTGTTTGATAACAATGCCGCACAGCTGTTATAATTTTAGCACTCTGGGGAACACGATTGCATTCGCCTTCCCCGATTGCATTCGCGTTCTTTTTAAAGGACCTCATTGTCGACTCGTTTATACCAAAATGTATAAACGAGTCGGCTCTCAGTACGTGTGAAGTAAAAATGCACAATAGCGAGTTCAGAGCGGGATTACTGCGAGAGACTGAGGACTAAGCGGGGAGCCGAGGTGGCATGCCTAATCATCGCGGGCAGTTTCAAATGTAAAATTCTGCGTGCACATCCATGGTGTCATTCACTCGCGGACACTGGAGTCCGGCGGGTGTCGCGAGTAGGGAATTAGTACGAATTTAGTCACTCAGAGAAATGTGCAAAACTCTTGAATTCCAGAAGTCACGCGTCCAGGGGAGGGTTTTCTGCGTTCTTAGTAACGGAAGCGCGCCCCCTCGTACCCTCAGACTCTGCGTGGCTCTCTAACTCTCACCTGGTAGTTGGTGTAGTTGATGTTGACAAGTACCCTGCCCCAGCGTGCATTCATGCCCCGGAGGGGGGAGGCCTTCCACAGGAGAGAGCGCTGCGCGGAGTCTGTGTCCGTCACGTACAAGGCCAGCGAGGAGTTGCTATTTGCAACGATGCTGAACCAGAAGCTCAGGCACCTGAGGCCGTTTTGATGTGTCATGAGAGGGCTCAGCAGAGTCGACATGGAGTTGTACATATATTGGTTGATGCCCAGGAAAGCACGACCTGGAAAAATAGTAAAAAAAAAAAATGTAAACATTGTATAATAAGCACAATAGGCATGGTTTGAAAAATACACAAATATATATATACACAAAGAGAAATACCTTGATAACAGGGATTAGATTTGAAAACTACTATGAGCGTACTTTTTGAACAGGTTATCTAACATCACAGAGGGCAGAGGGTTTATGCACGGTTCTAGCGGTGACACTGTGGGAAGCGAGACAGACAGCGGCTGTTTGCATAATTTGTTGCCAGCCAGCAGGGCCTCATTTGCCGCTCTCTTTTGAGCATGAGTCGGGCCTCCGCCACTTTACGAAAAGATTGTTGCCCGGATGACAACAAAAATGACTCGGAAGTGAAGTGAGAAATATCAACACATTCAAATAGAATACCGTGGCCTCGTTGGAAAAATGCGTACATAACAGGCAACTTTTTGGGCAATGCCAGGAATTGTTTCCCGCGTGCTTCTTAAAAGCCACTTAAAGTATCATATGCCTTGAAGAAGGGCCAATGCCCTCGTAGAAGTTGATTTTTCCAGCATCGACAGAAAACTGGTGTATAGCAACGATCTGACCTCCCTGCTGCTGGAGTTGGTCAAAATCATCAGATGCTTAGCAACAGTTCTCTCAGAGTATACACCTCGCTGGTAAATACAGCCGCAAGAGAATGATCAACAATGGCCTCCCTCGAGCCTTGGCATTAGTAAAGTCATTTAACACAAGTGACCTGCCATGTATGTCATCTCACAAGTTAATATATGATGATGACAGCACCCTTGCTGGCCCAGGGCACGAACCTCAAGAACATTGCCAATACTCTTTAACAGCTGATCTAATAGTTATTGGAGGCATGGTTCCATCGCTGGAGAGACACTCCAACCAAATCCTTCCAAAACCACTACAGGTGCGTTACACCTGAACAATTGTGCAGCAGATTACCGTGCAAAAGCTTGAGTTGTATCAAGTGTAGAGATTTAAAAATACATATTTTTTCGTATACATTTTCATTCATGTAAATATTGTAGATTACAGTATTATATGTACTTCAGCATTATAAATATGAATGTTGGGATGTGTTTTGGTTAATCAGTGTTTAATGGAGCGTAAGAATGGTCAGTTGATAAACACTTAAGTACTCTCACACAGCATAGGATTTACAGCAATTATATTGAAGCATTCATACAACGTTATAGCATGTTATATATGAACCGTGTGTGTGGTGTACATTTATTGAGATACCCACCGTGTGGAATTAGACTCAGTATTGGCAATACGTAGACATTGTTGTATTGAATTGCCGTCCACTGAACGGCATTTTCATATTTGTTTTGCCATCCGCAGAATCCTTGCTCAAAGTCACAGCCGAGCAATGTTGACGGTTCTAAGAAGAACAAGATAAATATTGTATTAAGACGGTGGGCTAGGTACGGCGCAAAGGAAGTTCAACATACATACAACAGGAACATTCGTATCATTTGGTCAGTTTTGCGTCAAATGTAGTTCTTTAATTGTAAATTCAGGCCATCTTCGTTTTCATTGTTGGCATTTCTGGTACCTGTACGAACAATTCACCATGAGGCCACACTGACAGTGCTAATTAAACCAGGCGCTGTGCCATTTAACAAAGCGGCTGATCCCGCACTATCAACAACGTACGACTACTTTAGCCATGGCGTCATGTGAGCTGGAGGGAACATGCTGAACTCCTCCCCCCCTTCTCTTACTATTTTCAATTTACCAGGTAAGGCCCACTGAGCTAGATAGCTCTTTTTCAAAAGCAACCTGACCACAAATGATAGCTCAACCAAGTGGCTTACTTCATCGAAATGTTTCGCAGCCAAATACTCTAAACGCATGATGTCGATTCTAAATGAGGGAAAACCGAAGAACACGAAGTAAATCTACTCGAACATGGGGAGAGAGACATGCAAATTCAAACAAGTAAACCCGTAAAAACAAAGTTTTTCACTCTAAATCCTTTATATGCGTGGCGTCTAGAGTTCTCTCGTCCTCTGGCTTGAGATGGCTGCAATCTATGGGTCAGATGATTGTCTGCCAGTATTAAGCAATTAGTAATTAAATATTTAATTAGTTTTCCCTAAACAGTGTAAAATTTTGGAAAAAAAATTTCACGAAAATTAATTGTCACACACAACGAGTCTGTGTGGAAAATGTCAGCTCGATTGGATCACGGGAAGTGGGTTAAAACACGACCGAAAGATTTGCACGGTCCTAAGCAAGCAAGCACGCAAGCAAGCACGCAAGCAAGCACGCAAGCAAGCAAGCACGCGAACTTAATATAAAGGATTTAAAAAAAGAGCAGTCGTCACAGTCGGGATGGAACCCACGACCTCTTGCATACCAGGCGCGGGAGATAACATCTCACCACCGCGGGGCCCCAAATTCAAAATTCTTAGTCACATTTTTTTTTTACAACAATATTAAAAACCCAGTTCACCAGTTTGGAAAACACCCATTAACATAAGACAATAAAGGGGGCTGGACAAGTGAAACAAATTGAATTAAGCATTGTGCATCGCACAAATATATATGAAATTAATGTGTAGCCATTCGTCATGCAGTGATGCCTGCTCAGGGCTCTCACCCTGAGCCACCCCACCACCTCTCATAGGTTTTGTTTTTTGCTCCGGCATCAGTGTGTATTTGCCATTGCACTACTCATATAGTTCGCAACGCAAATCCATCAGTACATGAACAAAACAACAAAAAGCAAACCTGAAGCCTTGTAAGTCACATTAAATGGTCCATATGTGATTAATACGACTTTATTTCCAGAGGAGAGGATATTTATGTTTTCGCAGTAATAATTATTGACAATGGCCAAAGTCGGCCCTTTGATGGACTGGCCTTCATGGATTTCAGCATTCCTGAAATGCAAAAGAAAGATCAGTTTGTTTGCATCACCATACTTTTTATATACGGTATAACTTCTAAAAGCCATACTCGATTAAGTCAGAATTCGGGGTAAGGCGAAATGCTTCTTGACCTGAACACTGGCTGTGCATTAATTAGGCTGCGTTTGGTAGATGATATACTTAGATGCACTATAAATTATAGTGATATGCACATACAATAATTATCGATTGTATGGAATCCAGTTGAGCTATTCCTGTGGTGCTTCGTCTGTGCTCTCTATTGTATTTCGCATGTATCTCATTGCACAAAATAAATTCCTTCAATCACTTCAGACGTGGGTTTCTTGGAGCATGAGGACGTCGATGTTATTCATCTTCAAAATGTTTGCAAGATACTCGCACTTTACCCGGCAAAGTCCCTCAGTGTTGAGTTAGAGCAGTGGTTCTTAACCTTTAATGCAGCCTTGCACCTCCCCTTTGGGTTTCCATCATAATTTTTTTCATGTTAATAAATACATAGGGTTTGATGAACCAAAGTAGTTGTACTTACATGCCTGTGCTTAATTTGTATTTCGATGATTTACCTTCTAAAAAAATCTGGCCACGTCTCACAACCCCAGAAAGAGCATCTCGCACCCCTAGAGGGTGCATGCACCTCAGGTTCAGCACCACTGAGTTAGAGGATCTATCTGACGTGTTGCTTGGCCCTGGAGGGGACCGTTGTTGTGGCTTAAGTTGTTGTTCTGGAGACTGGGAGATCATTGATCCCAATGTTCAATCGCCAGGTTGATGGCATTTGTCGCGATTGCTCACGTAATAGAGTGAGCCTGTGTGAAGGTTCAACACTAAGACTGCCAATTTTGTTTTATTGATAACCAAAATCAGAATGTTGATGTATTTGCTATCCTTGCTGTATGTTGCTATCTTGATGCACTCATCAGTGGTACTGGTTACTGTCTACGAGTATATTAACAAATCAGCTACTGAAGTGCATTTACCGGCAGAAGGTTCCATTCAAGAACACAGCTTTGTCCGGACTTGTTTCAATGAGCCAGTAGCAATTGTTGCTACTGAAGGAATCGTTCCCAGAAATGAAACCTTCAGTTCCATTAAATACACCTCCACAAGTCCCTAGAGAAAACAAACACAAAGTGGTAAACCTTACCAATTATACACTTATTGGAACTTACAAAACCGTTATTTTAAAAGCGCACTTTAAATTCACAACACAGTACTTTTATAACCACGTTCATAAAGTACTAAAAAAATCATGAACATACTATTCATTTTATTTATTTTACCAGGCAAGGCCCACTGAGCGATACAGCTCTTTTTCAGAAGCGACCGAGCCACAATAACTCAACGAAGTGGGCTTAGCATCACGTGGACATTTATAGCAGGCAACCACTGTTAAATTCATGTTTATAAATGTGGAGGGAAAAACCAGGGAACCTGGAGAACAATCCACGACCACAGGGAGAGAGACCTGCAAACTCCAAATATACAGGGATTGGGATCAGGATCGAACCCTTGAACTCCTGCATACCACGCGAGGCAGATAACATCGTGGTGCCCTTCGTGCTATTTCATACTATTGCATGCTATTAAAACGTCAGAATCAATTGGAATTGTTCTAAATCCTCCCAAGCAGAGGGCTGTTTTATGTTAGGGGCTGATCCGCGCCACTGGTAGACCCGGATTAACAAAAGCAGGTGATGTGGGGTAGCGAGCTAGCGATTAGAGGGGTAGTCTCAAGGGAGGGGATAAGCAGGGAGAAAGTATTGGGTGCCATTCTTGCAGTGCAAGGGGGTGCGGCACTGCAGGTCAACTATTTAGACCAGGCAGGATAGATTATTGTTGCGTGACAAACCACACTCGTCTGCAGTAAGGAGGTGTGCACATCTGGTGTTGGACAAGCAAAGGAAAGTCGGTTTAGTTTGGCGCCTGTTGAGCTTGCCACCTTCTGAATGTTGAGTCAAAAAATGCTCTGCCCACAGTGCCACCTCGCCATATTCCTCACTTGCAATAATGTTGCCTCAATATCACCGACAACAACCGACTGCAAAGAAAAGTGAATTACCTTGGAACCCGTTTTGTGAAACGCTGAAAGCAAAAGCTCTAGAAGAATTCCTTTCACCGGATTTCAAGACCACCATCATGCTGCCTTGGGACTGCGGGCTCTGGCTGGGAGGGCTGTTGCTGCAAAGTGAGTCCAGGATCACGGAGTGTACATTTTCTCCGTTGTAAATGGTCAGGGAATCTCCCACGCACCTGCTGTGACTCTGCCCTTGTGATGAATTGTCAGCATCCATCCTGCACAAAAAGACAAATACAAAGACCCCCCGAGTAGCCTTAACAAACTGTTGGGGCAAGTTCTGTTCGCGAGTAGGGCCTATGAAGGTTGGCATGGCACACGAGGGGGTGGGTGGCCAGCACCACTAAGTCAAGGTATAGGTCAGATAATCTCCATTTTTGGGTTGATAATTACGAGTACAACTTTTTGAGCAGTCAACAGCATGAGTGGTATGGAGAGACTGACATCAGTAACAGCTATGTTGAGTATTAAGTTCTGAATTATTGATGGAGTAATATACCTCTCACTGCAATATGTACAAGATACATTTTTAACAAGTGGTCCTCAGCTGAGACTGGCTCATTCTTGAGATTGAATACTGCAATGACTTGAACATCCGTCTATAGACCACCTCTATGTATGTTTAGTGTTCTTCACGGAGGCACACACTTGACTTGGAGGTAACACGTTTATTACACAGCCCAACAGGGCTAACTACACAACGTACACATGTTAACTAGACCCCAACAGGGTAACTACATAACCGGGTCAGTCAGCAACCTCATGACTGACCCACGATGCCGAGCAAAGACCGAAGACCGGAGAGAAGTAGCACCGAGGATTGATTCCAGAGAACAGTCAAGAACGCTCTCGGGACTGCCCCTTTATGCCCCTGAGCATGGCCTCGCTCCACCCTCAGTCACGCACCGATCGGGATCTTTCCCGAAGGATCCCGACCGAGCATCACGTGTCCCTCAAGTCCCCTTCGCTACCCTGTCCGGGTCACGTGCCCTCTCGGGTTCACCCAGACTACCCCATGCTCACTTGCCCTCTCTCAAGCCGTCACCAGGACTATGCCCCCTAGGGCCTGTTCACATGCCATACTTACTCTGCCCCCCGAGAGAGGTCCCAGACGCACAGTAGCACTCTTGTGACAGTGGCTGGCGCTAACACCATAGTGACACCATTAACGTCACTACATATGTAAGTTGAACTTCTATCGCACCGTATGTATGGCACACTGACTCATCGGCATTACCCACCTGAAATCCATGAATGACAGTGAGATGCCACGGCTTGGTGCCTTGAAGATCCAGACGCACTCTAGGTTGCTGGGGTAGTTGTTGGGGTAGTTTGGAGACAGTATTAACAGGCTGCTGTCTATTATATCCAAAACGCCTCCACAGTGGCTATCAGCTGAAACACAACACAAGTATTGCATGGGATTAAATTAAGGTTGAAGGTTCCTTTAATCGTTGGGTGTGATGACATAAGTCTTTTTCATTTCTTCAAATGCCATTGCAGAGCATATGCTTCTTTGGAAACCAACGTATTAGTTTTTTACACACACACACTTGAAGTTCTTCTCTACCCTGCTCATCATATTCAGTCCGCTGCAGTTTGAAAGTCTCCGGATTTGGAGTGTGTTGGCCAAATAGATGAGGTGAAGAAGAAAGCCAACGTAGGACCACCAGGACAGACAGCTACATTTGCTCATCCGAATGTTGTTTCCCTACCACTGCAATTATGCACCCAATGTGACAGTGGCATAGGCACCTGGTGTAGCATAGAAATTTCCATGCAGGTACAGCCAACCGTTGTTGTTCTTGGTGACGACAACCCGCACCGATTCAGTGGAGGACACGTAGTTGTACCTATACACATTTACTGGTAGGTCAGTGACCTGATTCAGTGGGCCGTCATAGATCCGAATGCTGTTGTTGTAGTAGTTGTTAAATCTGCAACACAACAAAAATTAGTTTTCACGACAGTGTTACCATGCGATAGAGGTTTCGCTAGCAGTCCCTGACTTACGAACTACCTAACTTATGAACACCCGCACTTACGAAGGAGTTTCCTTAAGATATTAATTTTGTTATAACCATCCAACGTGCAGACGCGAGCTCCTACTTGCCAACCGAACCGAGGAACTATTTTGTTCAGCGAAGCGATCCTTCGCGAGATGTAATGAGTCTCAGAATCCTGCTGGAAGACAGCATTGATGTGTGCCTGTGCGTGTGTGCACGTGTGTGTGTCGAGCGGCAATATCTTTTCATCGGTTGCGTAACGCTGTGTGGAAGCTACCTGGTCTGTCGCTCCGCACGAAGCTTCAGGTCTTCTCGGCCACGGTCATTCCCTCCCTTCTCTACGCTTGCGAAACGTGAACCCCCCTAGTGGAGCATCTTCGCCGGTTGGAAACATTTAGGCTGGCCTGCCTACGATCCATCCTGGGTTTAACCAGGCTGGATTGTGTGAGGAGCTCACAAGTCCTTGAAAGATCTGGGCAAAGTCCCATCAGTGAGCTCCTCCGGCAGGCAAGGCTGCGTTGGCTGGGTCATGTAGCCCGCATGCCCAGCCACCGCATGCCTAAACAGCTTTTGTTCCGCCGGATCAAGGGGGCTAAACGGGCGCGGCACGGGCTAGAAAAGAGATGGAGTGATGTGGTACAGGAGGACGTGGAGCTGAGTGGACTTGCCGATGACTGGTACCAGCGGTGTCAAGATCGGCCACAGTGGAGGAGGCTCGTGAAGGACGCTACTGGGCAGTTGGAGGCAGTCGCCCTCCAACAACAACGGAGGGCGGAGAAGCGACGCTCACAACAACGAGCGGAGCGCCGGGTGGCTAAAGCACAGCAAGTTGGTACAGTAGGGGGCACAGGTGGTGCATCAGCCAGTCATCTCGGTCATCTCGGTCAGTCGACCCGTGGCACCTGGGTCTGCCCCGTGACCTCCTGCCAGCGGGCGTTCGACACTTCACGTGGCCTCAAGGTGCACATGGCCTGGCACAAGCGTCGTGGTGACGTCACCGCCACTTAGTGGCGAATGGCGGTTGTTGTTGTGAAAGTGTGTGTGGGGGAGTGGTAGTGTAGCGGTTAGCGCGCTGCACTATGAACCCGGCGAGACGCGTTTTATTCCCGCTCACGGCCAACATCAGTGGCGATTATCTGAACCAGTCCTGGGCCTCCCCTAGGTCGACTCAGCCTCAAATGAGTACCTGGTGCGGTGTGTAAACATCGCCACTAGGGAGACAAAGGCGGTCGGGCATGGTGCTGGCCACCATCCCCCTCGTGTACCAGCCTTCATAGGTGCTACTCGCCAGCAGCGCTTGCCCCAAACGTCCGTTAGGCTATACGGGGGATCTTTGTCTTTTGTGAGTGTGTGTGCAAAGGTTAGTGTGTTGCGCTACGAACCCGGTGACACAAGTTCGATTCCTGCTTATGATCAACTGTGTCTGGTGAGGTGTTTAAACATCACCACTGTGGAGACAAAGGCGGCCGGGCGTGGTATTGGCCACCCACCCCCTCCTCGTGTGCCGTGCCGGCCTTCATCGGCGCTGCTCGATAAAAGCACTTCCCCAAGTCTATTGAGGCTACACAGTGGATCTGCGTGTGTGTGCGCGCACGCGTGTGTTCCCGTGTGTGTGCATTTGTGGTGACCCCTTCTGACAAGCATCAAGACTCAAGGCAAATGAAAAAAAAATCTTATTTTCATGTTACTTTATTTGGTAAAATTTTCTATAGCGTATATATCATAATATTACATGCACAATGCTTTGTTTTACCGTAACACCGACCGTATGGGGCATTTAAATGCAGTACATTGTCTTCCGAGTTGCGAACCATTTCACTTACGAACTGGTCTCAGGAACGAAACTCGTTCATGGGTCGGCGACTGCCCTACTGCTTAATGCAACTTAATGCTGTGGCAAATGTATGTTTTACATTTCTACGTAACGAACCCTCAGCCAAATCCGCCATTTTGACTTTTCTGGCTAATGCCCCAGAATTGTTCCTCCGATGCAGGTCAGCTAAGTGAGTTGTAAACCGTGGGTTCTGTCTTTTACTCGACGTTTTTTGAAGGGTGAATGAGCATCATTGGAATTTATAAATAAGCTATTTAAAGATGACCTGACAGATTCCAAATCCTCAGCCTCTTAAGACATTTTCCAAATTATATTTTCAGCATCTGCAATACATTTAAGCAGAATTTACCTTGCTACAATAATTTTATGGGGCAAGTACAGAAATGCAGTCCATCGAATACACGCCACCAAACAATTATCAATGATTCATTCAGACGCTGTCTTCCCGACAGACCTGTTCTTCACCTGAGGACGGCTGCTTGCGTTGTGGCCGAAACGTCGTGAGAATTATTTAATTATGTTTTATTTGTATTATTTTATTATTTCCATTCTACGTGACTTTACTGAAAGAACCAAGAAGATGAATCCCTGCAGTCATGAAAGCTTTAAATCGAAAATTATGAATGATGTTATTACCTAAAATACGCACAATCCATCATTTATTTGGAGAAGTTGTAAATATTATATCTAGCAGTGAGGGCTTTTTCTCGAATTTGTATTGCACTGGGACAAGTAGGTTATGTTCTTAGGTTAATGTCAGAGATGTTACAAGATTTAAGGTACGTCGTGATGTATTTTGGATCCAGTTCAATTTCTAAAATATTAATTTAAGCACGTAATATTAAATTTTGTAGCTTCAAACCTATTAGACTTCTTACATTTAAGTGTATACATACGTATGGTGTTAGTAAAGTCGGAGAAAAAGTAAACAGGGTTAAATGGGATAAATTTATATTGGACTTGCCTTTATGTCACTCATAAGACAGGAATAATTGTGTAGAGGAGTAATATGGGGACGTGACGTCATACGCGCTGTGAGGTGTGATGACGTCATGTAACCTGGCGGTACTTAAGGGGGGCCCCGTGATGAAAGCGGGGTCGTAGGGGGAGTCCGGGATGGAGAGCAGTTGAAGGGAGCTGAAGAGACAGCCAGGGGTAGAGCTCGAGAAGTCTGTAGAAGCCGACTGTAGTTACGGAAGATGAAGAGACAGCCAGTAGGCTAGCAGTAGAGAGAGAGCTAAGGATCCAAGGGAAGGACTGAGTGTAGGACACCTACCCCTGCTGGTTAACTACTTTCTTTGTTAATAAACTGGCGCAAGCCTTTACTTGAAGACCTGTCTCAACATCGTCATTTTCCACACAACAACTGGTGTCAGAAGTGGTTCCTATCTTCGCCGCCATGTTGAAGTCAGGGGCGAGATGGAATAACCCGCCTGTTGCGGAATCTGATGGCGAGGACAGCATGGAGGAAGTTCCCGCAACGTCCCCGGAGACCGGGGCCCCGGAGATGCGCCCCGTGGAGCCAATCCACCCAAAACAGGAGGAGATGGCGGCCGTGGGTGGCTCCTCACCGCCGCCGGACACCTGGTGAGTCCTCTCGAGCCAGCTGGATCTGCTTCTCAAGGCGGTCGCGCAGCTCGCGGTCACGGTTGCCGAGGTGGGAACACGGCCGTGCGCACCCGATACATTTTCTGAACGGGATCAACGGATTCCCACCATGGCGCTTCCCGCCTCGGTTGAAATTGGCACCATCACTTCATCAGACGCGACGTGGGAGTTGGACGCTGTTGCCGTACGGGACGCAACACAGCATTCGGGCGCCATTTTGGCCGCGACACCGTAACCAGGCGCCATTTTGTCCGCAACACCACAACCTGGCGCCATTTTGTCCACGACAACACAATCACCCGCCATTACCAACGCGACTCGACATCCCAGCGTCGCTACGACTTCCCCAGCGACGCCTCCGCGTGTGCCCGTGGGTGCGCCCTCGCCGGTGTTGACATCCGGCGGCCAGAAGCTCCGTCGCTTGCCACCCATCTGCCCATTTATCGCGGCAGGAGGCGATTGGATGGCCTTCCAGGACCGGTTTGACACGGCGTATGTTTCTGTTGGATGGCCCTTGGACGAAGCTCTTAAGGTGCTCCCCACAGCTCTTGATGACAGGGCTTTAGCTACTTATAAATCCATCCCACCGGCGGATAGGGTGACGCTTCCAGCTGCGTATGCGTAGATGGCTGCCATTTTCGAGCCGCCTTCTAGTGCGCACCTTGAGTTTTCACTGCGGACGCGAGAGGAGGGGTAGCCACCGCTCGTTTTCCGCAGCTCCCTGCTGACGCTGGCACGGGCAGCCTACCCTAACCTTGAGGGGGCAGCGCTGGACTCGCTAGCCCTGGAGTGCTTGCTCTCCCTTGCGCGGGAGCTGGGGATTTCTCTGACAATCGCCGAGGAAGCTGACATCACATCGTTGAGAGTGGCACAGAACATCCAGGCCCACATCGCCCTGCGACAGTCGCCCAGTGTGGCGGCATGCGCGGGGGTCCCGATGACTGTGGGGGCTGACGCACCTCAAGGGGAGGACGTCCTAGCTGCTGTCGCTGTGGGCAATCGACGCGGAGGTGGCGCCGGGGATCGCCGACTGGAGCAACGGTGGTGGGCGAGGGCTCCTCTCTCGCAAGGCTAGGCACCCACTGCCTGCTTCCACTGTGATCAGCAGGGCCGCATCGCGTTGGGCTGCCGCAACAAGGACTCTTCCTACCCCGACTCCACATCGGCATCAGCTACTGGGCCTAAGGCGAGTCGCGACGCATCAATCACCCGGCCGCTCCCCTCACCTCACTCATCTAGTGGGGTTAGGGCCCATAATCACGAGGTCATCACTAAGTGCTTGGGTTCGATCGGTGCTCGCTCGCTGTTATTCACCGGGTGGCCTAAGCGAGTCCATCAATGGGATGCGCTTGCGCATCATGTTGTAGCGGCCGCGGTGCGTTCCAGGGTATGGAAGTGCGCGTTTTGGTGGATACAGGCATGTCGGCCACCATTATATCCGAGTGTATCTACGGGATGTTGCCACACAGCGTTGGTCCATTCCAGCCAGTTCAAGGGGCTTGTGTCACCGCAAATAGCGGCAGCTTGGGAATTTTGGGCCATATTGTCGCCTCCATACGGATCGGCGAAATAGATTTGGTGGGGCCGGTTTTGGTCTCAAAGGCGTTGGCAGTACCATGCCCTTTGGGCACTGATTTTTAGCCAAGATGCTCATCCGTATTCTTGTGGACCAAGGCTGTGTGGAGATGCCATTGGGCCGACGCCTGCACTTCTTGCAGTCTCCCACTGTCTTGTCTCCCATTGCCGCCAGTGTGCGGGCCTTGGCTAAGGAGTCCGTGACCATTCCACGAGGGTCACAGATTCTGGTACCCCTCAGACTGCGCAGACCCCTGCATTTGCACTCCCCAGTGATGGGCATCTTGTTGTCCCCCTCTAATTATTTTCATGAATGACCAGGTTGGTAGGCGCCCTGATTAGCTGTATCAGAGAGCCGCGACCCCTTTTTCCGCTTTGCCGTCGACAAGATGTTGGCAGCGGACATTATCTCCCCATCCACTAGCCACTGGGGTGTCCCATTGTGCTAGTCAAGTAACGGGATGGGAGTCTCCGGTTCTGCGTCGATTTTCGGAACTTAAACAAGATTTCGGTGGCTGATGCATATCCATTACCCCGCATGGATTATTCTCTCGACGCCCTCTTGGGTGCGCGGTTCTTTTCCACCTTAGATTTGCTCTCGGGCTTCTGGCAATTGCCACTGCACGGGGCCTCTAGACCAAAGACAGTGTTCCCAGGGGCTGTTCCAATTAAATCAACTTCCTATGGGCCTCCATTCGGCCCTGGCCACCTTCCAATGTCTCATGGAGATGGTCTTGGCAGAGCTGCAGTGGGAATCTTGTTTGATTTACTTGGACGATATTATTGTTTTCAGCCATATGTTTCATGAGCACTTGCAGTGTCTTGAGGCTGTGTTCGTCAAAGTATGTGCTACGGGCTTGAAATTCAAACCGCAGAAGTGTCATTTCTTGCAACCATCGGTGAAATATTTGGGCCACATTGTTAGTGCATCAGGAGTCGCCACAGATCTGGAGAAGACAGCTTGTGTCCGGTCATGGCCGACTCCCACATCTGTCACCGAGGTGCGCAGCTTCGTCGGTTTCGCCTCATAGTATCGTCGCTTTGTGTGCAATTTTGCGACTATAGCGAAGCCACTGCATGCACTATCCGCAAAGGGACGACAATTTCGTTGGGGTGTAGAGGAGAAAGCGGCCTTTGTTGCGCTTCGCGCATCCTTGGTGCATGCGTCACCCTTGGGGTACCCTAACTTTTCTAAGTTCTTCATCCTCGACACTGACGCCATTGACTCAGGCATTGGGGCTGTCCTGGCTCAGGTGGTCGACGGGGTGGAAAGGGTCGTCGCATACGGCAGTCGCGTGTTGTCCCCCGCTGAGCAGCGGTATTGTGTGACCCGGAGTGAGCTGCTGGCCATTGTATTTTTTGTACAGCTATATAGGTCCTATTTGTATGGCAGGCGGTTTATCGATCGAACTGACCATGCGGGCCTGCAATATTCCCTGCGGATAAATCAGCACTTGGGTCAGCTGTCCCACTGGCTTGAGGTGCTGCAGAAATATTCCTTCGATATCATCCACAGGAAGGGGGCACAGCATGGAAACGCTGATGGCCTGTCCAGACTGCCTACGGAGGGCGGGCGCGCATACACCCTGGGTTCCAGTCGCTGCAGGACCCCGGTTGACACCGTGGCCCAGTTGGTTGCATTGGCCGAAGCGGTCCTCCTCTGGGTATGGCTTTGCCTATGGACTTTGGCCTGGGTCTCACCCGAGATGTCTGGTCCAACTTGCAGATGGGGGATTCCTCTCTGCTGCGGTTACGACGCCTTGTTGGGCTAAACGCCCGGGGCTCAGCTCCGTCGACGGGCCTGGTTGTTGCTGTGCATGACGGCCTCCTCATGTGTTGGGATACCGAATTGGATCGCTATTGCATGGTTGTACCCACTAGCCTGCGAGGAAAATTGACTCGTGTCATTCACGAGAGACTTATGCACCTTGGTTGTGAAAATAACTTGTTGATCCTTAAACGGGACTACTACTGGCCAGGTGTGGAGAGTGACGTGGCACTGTTTTTGAAAGGTTGCCATGATTGTGCACGGCGGAAGGCCCCGGTTGGCTATGATCGGGCCCCGCTGCAGTCCATCTGGGTTGCTCGTGTAAATGAGCTCGTGGCACTTGACATTTTGGGCCCCTATCTGACGTCCCAACGGGGACACAAATATCTCTTAGTTGTGGTCGAGTACCTCACGCGCTGGCCTATGGCATGGCCCTTGCCAGACCAGTCGACCTCGTCCATCACCGAGGCCTTTGTGCAGGGTTACGTGTTGGACAAGGGTGCGCCAGAACAACTATTAACGGACCAGGGCCGACATTTTTCTTCACGACTGCTTAAGGAGGTCTGTGACCTCCTTGCCACCAAGAAAATTCATACATCGCCCTATCACCCTCAGTCCGATGAGATGGTTGAATGGTTAAACCGCACCCTCACATCTATGCTTTGCCACCAGGTGAGCACGTCCCAGTCGGACTGGGATCTGTTCATTCCGGGGGTCCTGTCTGCGTACAGGCTGGCCCCTCATGCCTCAACGGAATTCTCGCCCTTCTATCTAATACATGGCCGAAATCCGGAACCCTCGATTCAGGTACAGATGGACCTGGGATCCTCGAGGAATGAGTCCGCAATGGCCGCTCCAATGAAGGCCACACTTGACCGGCTGCGCGAGGCACGGCAGGTGGCTGTGGACAATTCGGCCAGCCGGCAGGTGACTAACGAGCACCTGCCGAAACATCCGTGGGAAAAGGAGCAGAAAGCGTGGCTCTACGGCCCCCAAGTACCTGTTGGCACGTCCCCTAAATTGCACCGCCTTTGGCAGGGCCCTGTAGAGGTCGTGGAGGTGCGACGCCCACAATGTATTTGCATTCATTTTGGTCGCCGGCAATGGATCGTACACCCGTTGCGCCTGAGAAGATATGTACCACATAGCCTCCTTGATTCATCCCCACTTCCTGAGTGGCTGGTGATTGATGTGTCCGACGCACTGGGCCTACGGGTCTTGATGTTGAGAACAATGTTCGCCCTGTGTGTGCGCCTACAGAGCCCCCACTAGTAGCTCCTGAGGTGACGCCTCTTCCTGTGGAGGCCCCGACGTCGAGCCAGTCGCCAGCTGGCGCGTTGCCTGTCCCTATGACCGATGACGCATGTGGGAGTGGACCTGCAACTCACATGCGTTCAAGGGGCGCTCGGTTCCGATGATGGCTATTGGGACCGTTGTCATCGGCCTCCAGCCGTCACCGTCATATTTGGCCCGTTGCTCCACGTGATGATGGCCTTCCTTATTGTCGTGCTGCCCTAATGTTTTTGTTATCCGTTGTTGTCTCCTCTTCGGGTTAACAGGGCTCCACTTTCGTATCATTCACAGCCGGGTCGGCTGATTTTTTTTTCACGGGGGGGTGGGGGTAATGTAGAGAAGTAATATGGGGACGTGACGTCATTCGCGCTGTGAGGTGCGATGATGTCATGTAACCTCGAGGTACTTAAGGGGGGCCTCGTGACAAAAACCGGGTCGTTGGGGGAGTCCGGGATAGAGAGCGGTTGAGGGGAGCTGAAGAGACAGCCAGGGGTAGAGCTCAAGAAGTCTGTAGAAGCTTGCTTTAGTTACGGAAGGTGAAGAGACAGCCAGTAGGCTAGCAGTAGAGAGAGCTAATGGTCCAAGGGAAGGACCGAGTGTAGGACACCTATCCCTGGCGGTTAACTACTTTCTTTGTTAATAAACCGGCGCAAGCCCTTGAAGATCTGGCTCAGCGTCGTCATTTACCACGCAACAATTGTATGCTGATTACAATTATCTTAAATCTCTGCCACAAACCTAAAGTGAGCTAAAGTACTTACGTGGCCTATATTGAAGTTTAAATGTAAGAAAAACAACTCATCAGTGAGAATTGTATTGTGCGTAACCTCCTAAACAAATACGAAAAATTAAGGACTGAGCGGATCAAAACTTTTAACAACCCAGGAGCAAACAAACATCACCAGAAATGGAATGAATGTGAACAATGTCGACTTACGTGACCAGGCAGATGGCAGAGCTGTGCTATCTCTCCCTCTGCGCCACACTACTCTTATTCGTTACTTGTCGAGTCTAATTTCTAATTTGGCACCTTATACATTTTTGTGGTGTGTGTGATGATCGCACCCAGGATGGTCTGGTAACAAATGCTTTAATAACAATGAAAAACACGAACAACAGCAGCGCACAGCTCACGCCCATCTCACACCATAGCTCCGCCTTCACCGACTAAAGAAATGCTGGCAAGAAAACGCCTGCACCTACTTTAGCAAGTTGACAAATGTAAGTTGTCTTACACTTGCAACCAGTATTTGCCCGAACTGTCTACCCATACTAAAGAGGAGATATTTACGATGTTATCAAGCACAACAACAAAAAAGACTTACATTTGGAAGTTGATGGTCACCACCATTCCTCGCGGCACTGAGATTTCCCAGCTGCACGTTTCCGTCATGTAGTAGGAGTACATGAATTGGCCGATCGACATGTTCAGGGCTTGGCCGCAGCTGCTCTGAGACGCCGTCATGTTGAACGGAGACGTTGTCATGTTGAACGGAGACGCCGTCATGTTGAACGAAGGCCGCCACATGCCGCTCATGGTGTAATTCAATCCGGGGTAGGTCGTGGTAGCGAACGTCAGGTTGTGGCCAGGCATATCTGATTAAGACGACGGTGGGGTAAGGGGGTTTGTGGAGAGTTAACTCGCCCGCAGATTATGAAATTAAACGCTTGAGGTGTACATTGTGAGGGAATGTACATTCGCGCGCCATGTTAGACTGCACCGTGGAGGTGCGGCCTTCTGGAAGGCTTTGTCACTTGTGGTTGCACTTGCCGTTCATTAATAAAGACTTAATTATTGTTAACGGAATATCCTGACCGAGATATTCCGTTATTGCAAGGTTGGTAAAGTAACCAGTAAGAAAATAAATGGTATTGACAGACTTTAAGCCAGATAGAGGCATGTGTCCCCTATGTGAAGCCTTGTGAAGCTAATGCAGGTGTATTCTAGATGACCTAGGTATCCATCGATTTACGAACGTTTGCTTTATAAAATTTGGCTTTCAGGCAATTTAAATATTACGGACGCTTTTCGATTAACGAAATCGAATTTTCCACGTTGTTACGAAATTTCACTCCGGCCAAGGGCGCCGTGAGATTATCGAACAAGAAGCCACCCGGGAGGCTGCGGCATCATCGTCCACAACACATTAGGAGCTTTTGGTGAGTTCCCTCAAAAGGTAAATTATTTTAAAAAAATTAATTGTTATTCAATCGTTTTCGTATTTATGTTCTTTATTTTTAAAAATCTTTTCATTGCGAAGTGATATATTTGTAGGTTAGGAGTAGCGTTAAATTGACTGTCCAAAACACATCCCTTAATGTTTAGAATTAAATAACAAGGAATCCTCTACTTACGAACATTCGACTGTTCAGACAGAGTCGTAAGTTCAACCGCCGTACAATTTTTGTATTGTCTAAAGTGATATAGGTCTATATTTTGGACATGCGTAAGAAACACATCTATTTTTTTTATTAATGGGAAAAACCATTTCAAATTTTACGTGTGTTTTCTGAAGAACACATCCCTTTCATAAATCGCGGGATACCTGTACTTACGGTATCGTTTCATTGCTACTAAACAAAACTTAAAAAAAAGTTGTATTTGACAAGGAAAGGCCCACGGAGCTGTATAGCTCTTTTTCAGAAGCAAACTGGCCATCACAAATGATATAGGTCAACCAAGTGGCTTATCACGTGCACATATATAGCAGCCAAATACTCTAAACACATGTCTCTAAATGTGGAGGGAAAACCCGGAGGACCCGGAGAAAAATCCACACGACCACGGCGAGAGAGACAAGCAAACTCCAAATATACAGCAGGCGTCAGGGTAGGGATCGAACCCACGACCTCCTGGATACCAGGTGAGGTAGCTAACATCTCCCCACTACGCCGCCCAGCGGTGAGGTCACAAGTTGAGGTGCGCCTTCTCGTACCGTGTTGTGACATCTGGGTGGAGAGGTGATGCAGTGGTAAGCCATTGTCTCAGCTACTCACGCGATGGCGGCTTCGTGTCGCAAACGAGGAACATCTCGCCATTGCAACTCATCACGCTCACGGCAAAACATTTTCCCCTAACGTGAATCTTGGCGCTGTGGAATTTAGTTTTAGCAGACCGTGGGGGGCACCTCGAATGTTTATCAGTCGGGATTTAGAAGACTTGGATCAGACGAGTTTCACTGTATTGTGTAAGAAATGTATCCATAATTTTGATCTTTTTGGGATAGATTGCGTAAAAATTAACGTGTCGTTAAACCCGCCACCACCCGACACAGCCAATTAGTAACATTTGTCACGCAAACAAAACATTCCAATTAGTTACTAGTTTAGCACACCGGTGTGTTGGAGAGTAAACCCACAACATTTATAATTCGAGTACGACGTCTTGCCGGTAATTACACCAACCAGCCTCATCAGGCGACAGCCAGAATTGTGGGGAAATCATCCTCCTTTTCGGTCTTAAATTGAGGGGGTGAATGTGATGTCATCATTACAATGAATATCTCTATTCTTGGTTGGGTCATTCAAATTTAATCAACGTACATAATTTATGTACATTATTCATGTGTAGTGACATAGAATCGGTCACTTAGCAGCATAGCGCTTGTTGCTGGCAGGAAAGGGATCTGCAGTTATAGCAGCCCTGACTGACAGCAAGTCACGTGATAGACCAGGGAGAGTGATGTAGGGGAAAGGTTACAGAAGGGGTATGTGGGGGAAGCTTGGGAACTTGCTGGTAGGTTCTAGAAAGGGGGCATGGCTGGGGCGAAGCGAGGCCACGCTGTTTAGGATAAAAGAAGGGGGGGGGGGCCCGAGCAGAAGCTCGGGGCTGTCGTTTGGAGTGGGATCCCGTCGTGCTGCTGGAGTCTTCGTCACCGTCTTCACCATTTTGGCGTCGTCAGTAAGGCAGTCTGCCAGCTGTCCTGACTGGGAGCTGTAGTTACTAAATGTGAACTATTAAGGCTGTTAATAAACAGAGTGCCTCTGAGTCAGTCACTACACATGCAACATTATGCATGTACATTCTGCCATTTTTGAAATGTAATTCACATTGTTAATCTTGCTTCAGTTTACCAGATGATCCAGGTCGTGATGGTGGTGTTATGGTTGTGCTGATTGTAGCTGATGTCTTGTATACTAGAAAAAGCAAACAAAACAATGAACACAGAAACGCACATCACTGCCGCTCTTACAAATACTAACCACAATTATCGTGGGAGGAAAAGGCAATGCCCCAAACTGGACACTTTTATAAATTTATTTTCAGTAGTTTATAATAAAGATTACAAATTAATTGATTATATGCACTCGCGATTCCGAATATGAGGAACAAAGCGAACCCCCCCCCCCCCCGCCAAATATAGAAGTCAAACTCTGTCTGAAAATAATAATAATAATAGTTAAATTTCGATTTAAAGCTTTCGTGACTGCAGGGATTCATCTTCTTGGTTCTTTCGGTAAAGTCACGTAGAAGGGAAGTAATAAAATAATAAAAATAAAACATAATAAAATAATTCTCACGATGTTTCGGCCACAACACAAGCAGCCGTCCTCAGGTGAAGACCAGGTCTGTCGAGGCGACAGCGTCTAAATGAAACACCACCACGCTTGGAGCGTCTATTTAAGCTGGGTTGGAAGGGGGGGAAATGCGCCTTGACAAAATAATCTGCATATCAAGAGGAATTTAGCATATTCATGGGAAATGCAAGAATACGACTAGTGCTACTTGTGAAATGCGTAGGAGGTGGCGGGGGGGTTTCAAAGTCATATTATGCCCATGCATTATGCAGGATTAGCAGCATCAAAGGGAGGGGGTAGGGGCAGCATCAATAAAGGGAAGGAATGTTAATAGTATCCAGCTGCAGTAACCAAACAACCACATAAAAACTAAAGTATAAACTACATAGTATCATCAGTATGCTAAATATACTCTCAATAAGCTGAGCTACTAACCGTAAGTAATACATTACAATTCTAGGTCGCAAAAAATATAATATGCTTCCAGCTAAACTTTTTAAACTTTTTCCTTACATTACACGGGTCTATCCCGTACTATATGCTGCCATAGACAAACCCAACATTAAATTGTATACTGTATTACTATACACTACCCTATGTCTTAGAATAATACATAGTGTAATATTACACTGCTGTATATTCACTATACAATTACGATACTATATATTACCTTATACATTGTATTAAACATTACACTTTAATTCTATTTATTATTATACAATATGCTATACACTATACCATTGACCGTCGCGTGAAAGGTACTAAGAAGGATCCTGTTGAGGGGCCTCTCAAGACCATCACCTTACCCTACATTGCTGGGGTCACAAAAAAGATCTCCAAAATCCTGATTAAACACAAGATCCAGGTCCGATTCAACACAGTACATAAAATCCGTGATCTGGTCCCGTCTGTAAAAGATGTGGTTCCAGACATACAGTACCCTGGCGTCTACAAACTAAGTTGCCTCTGTGGTAGCAGTTACATTGGAGAAACCAAACGACATGTCTCGGACCGCATCCGTGAACATAAAGCAGACTTGAAACCCGGTAGGACAAACACCTCAGCCGTGGCAGATCACTGTTACAATTCAGTGGGTTCACATGATATTGACTTCTCCAAGACAGAGGTTCTCTGCAAGCCATCTGGCTACCATGAGAGATTTGTTCATGAGGCGATCCACATATACAAACACAGAGACAATTTCAACCGAGAAGATGGATTCCGGCTTAGCAATCAATGGAAGGACGTAATAAACCATTTCGGATCTTAACTGATTGTGTCCACGTTTACGGTGACTTTCAGACCGCGTTCCACTCACTGACATTGACTATATATCTTGTATTCTCCGCAGGGAATGGATCCTTTGCTCCGCTGCAAGCTTCCTACCACCACTCTCCCATTGACATATTTCGTTGCTTCCTCTTAGTACCTTTCACGCGACGGTCAATGGTATAGTGTATAGCATATTGTATAATAATAAATGGTATAAAAGTGTAATGTTTAATACAATATATAAGGTAATATATAGTATCGTAATTGTATAGTGAATATACAGCAGTGTGGTATACAGTTGGGTGGGTACAATAATACATAGTGTAATATTACACTATGTATTATTCTAAGACATAGGGTAGTGTATAGTAATACAGTATATAATTTAATGTTGGGTTTGTCTATGGCAGCATATAGTACGGGATAGACCCGTGTGATGTAAGGAAAAAGTTTAGCTGGAAGCATATTATATTTTTTGCGACCTAAAATTGTAATGTATTACTTACGGTTAGTAGCTCAGCTTATTGAGAGTATATTTAGCAGAGGTGGGACAAAGTCATTGTTATGCAAGTCCAAGTCGAGTCTGAAGTCATCAAATTCATGACTCGAGTCTGACTCGAGTCCAAGTCACATGACTCGAGTCCACACCTCAGAGGTGGGACAAAGTAATTGTTATGCAAGTCCAAGTCGAGTCTGAAGTCATCAAATTCATGACTCGAGTCTGACTCGAGTCCAAGTCACATGACTCGAGTCCACACCTCTGATATTTAGCATACTGATGATACTATGTAGTTTATACTTTAGCTTTTTACGTGGTTGTTTGGTTACCTGCAGCTGCATACTATTAACATTCCTTCCCTTTATTGATGCTGCCCCTACCCCTTTCCCTTTGATGCTGCTAATCCTGCATAATGCATGGGCATAACATGACTTTGAAAACCCCCTGTCCACCTCCTACGCATTTCACAAGTAGCACTAGTCGCATTCTTGCATTCCCATGAATATGCTAAATTCCTCTTGATATGCAGATTATTTTCTCAAGGCGCATTTTCCCCCCCTTCCAACCCAGCTTAAATAGACGCTCCAAGCGTGGTGGTGTTTGATTTAGATGCTGTCGCCTCGACAGACCTGGTCTTCACCTGAGGACGGCTGCTTGTGTTGTGGCCGAAACGTCGTGAGAATTATTTTATTATGTTTTATTTTTATTATTTTATTACTTCCCTTCTACGTGACTTTACTGAAAGAACCAAGAAGAATAATAATAGTGTGGTGGGTAATTGTCAGGCGTAATGCACCGTCACCACTACGGGAAAATATGTACCTCCAGTCAGGGCCCAACAGGGGGCAATAGCGGGTCTGGTCTGTACCAAGTAGGACTGGCAGGTCAGGCAATCTGGGGGGCGGTTAGGAACCGGAGGTGGACACCCCAGGCCCCCAGTGGGCGCTGGGGGATTGCGCAACAATCTAGGTCCCTCCGGAAGGTTCCAGAGAGTGGGCGTGGCCAGGGGCGGAGTGATCCTGGGAGCCCCATAAAAGCCGGACCCCAGAGCGGCTCTGGCAGTCAGCATCAAGCTGAAGACCGAAGAGCTCGCCTGAAGACTAGGACCCTGAAGATCCCCGGACCCGACGTCCTTATCAGGGCCGGGTCTGAGTGGGTCAGTGGTCAAGACCCGAGGACCTTGGCTGGGTCGGGTCAGCCTCCCCTAGGTCCCGTTAGCCAGAGGGCTAAGATTAGGTGGTCCCAGTGACGAGGGCATGTTAGCTCGGAGGCTTTACCTCCTCAGGTCGTCGGGTAGAAAGGGCTATTACCCCTTCATGTTAGGGACCCCGTGTGTTCACGTTATTGTTAAATAAATACGTGTTGCCTCCTACTACTACAATAGTATTATTATCATTATTACGCTTGTTTGCCCACGAAAGGCTGAGTCTCGTGACCCTATTTCAGGAGGTTCCTACCGAGTTTTTTGCACAAGGAGGGAGCGATGTTTGCCACCCATAATTCCAATTGAATAAATTTGTGGATAATTTTTTTCCCATGCACCGTTTTAAGTTATACTTATTCATTATGTATATACGTTCATATTAATGCTTTAAAATTTTAATTTCACTTTTATTTATTAAATTTGTCTGTTTAAACATTCTAAACTGTGTTTTTAGGGTGAAAAAGGTCAACTTCAGATTGTCTTGGAATAAATGAAGCACCTTTAACATGCATTTCCTAGATTCGATTAAATGATAATTTCAGTTAAACGATGTTTTTTGTGGAACCAGTTAATATCGTTAACCGAGGGAACCCCTGGTATTCGGTTGTAAGAGTCGGGGTGATTGCCATCCATGGTGGAGTTATCTGTTAGCTTACCTTGACATAGAAGAGCCACCACAAGGAGGCTTCCAAGGAACCCCATATCTTGATCAGTTTTACTCTGTTTTACTGAAAAAGATGAGCACGTGTTAATAAATTAGAACACGTTTTAATAATAATACAAAAATAACTCAAAACTTATTTTCTTTTTCAAAATCCAGTCTGTATGTCGTGAGCCTTATCTGACTTTGTAAACAAATAAAATAAAATGCGATTGCAAGCAGCAGGAGGGTATGTTTTATTTGTCACAATGTTAGAGCTAAACAACAATGGTTTTCATGGAAAATAAATCACGCGAAATCCCTAATAAAGTAAGCAATGAGGTGCTGAGGCCTGTTGGGCAGTCCACAGTAGCTGTAATTCTACATTACCATAATAGGGACCAGCATGAAATTTTCATGAATATCGGTACAATTGTACAACTTTGCATTTTTTGTAGGAGGGACACTGTTTATTTTGTAATATTCCCCCATTGTTATCCCGATAGTATTACCATCGGCATCAAGTCATGACGTGAAGAACCCATCAGTCCTCTGGCAGAGCAGCGCGACCCCTTGCATTGGAGAATATCCCACAGAAGCAGATAATATAGCACTACCTCTTAGATCCCTCTAAGTGACCTGAGGTGAAAATCGTATCAGGTTGCAGTTTCCCACCCGCGTCTGCAATTTCAAAATTGACAGTGATACTTTCATTCTCAGAGCTCTGAAATGTATGCAGATTACACGCAGAGCCAATCCCATGGAAGGAAGGGTCTTCTTTATCGGTGAGGCAAGGATATGTTTCACTGCATTCGACACGATTTGTACCATTGTGCTGAGTCCAGCGATGCACATGTAACATTTCTACCTTCAGTACACGTAGAATGGATTGAGAGCAAAACCTACAACACATACAAGTACAATCAAACTCCCTATACCACGATGGTGTGGAAGATGAACGTGGCTTAATTTATTATCGGTGATGTTATCCGCAAATGTATTCCACTTATCCGCAAAAAGAGATTGAGGATAATCATACATAGTCGGAAGAATTTGCCACGTGCCTCCACTCATCTGCGAAAAAAAACTATTTAGATAGAGTAATAAACCCCGGTATATGCCGGGGAGATGCGCTCCTGAAAGGCGCGACGACGAATATCGAAACGACGTAAAATCTAAGGGATTTATGTAGTAGTCGTGGGTGGTGGAGGTTCAAGCCTGGGAGGCGACGGATAACGAGAAAGGACAGACGGTGCCGTCAGCGACGTTAGTGTGTGGGTTGAGACGACGCTAATCGGGTGGTAGTGTTAATCATAAAGTGACGACGTATTTGCGAACCGACGTTAAAAGTGGGGAGAGACGTAAATTGGGGTATTACTGTAATAGGAAGCCATTCCACAATGTAGGATGGGAAAAAAACTGGACATTCCTGGATAATGGTAATAGAGGTTTGGTGTAATAGGAGTTTACATAGACACTCCAGCTCCCTTGGAGATAACAAGAGTCTTTGGCATGTGCAGAGTTTGCGGGCGGGGCACGGGGTAACGCCCCTCCAAAACTGGACACCTTTATTAATGTATTTTCACTAGCTTACGATTAAGATAAAAACACGTTTAAATCAATTATATGCACCCGCAATTCCTAATGTGAGAGACAAAGCGAACCCCTGCCCACCCCCCAAATGTAGAAGTCAAACTCCGCCTAAGGTCATAGCGGGGTCATCGTGGAGAGGTTTTCAAGGTGGGGGAATCCTATTTGCGGTTTATCAATGTAAAATCGCAGTGGTGGCTGGCTCAGTAACACGATTGTGGTGTGAGCCACCAGAGGTGGCTGGCTCAGTAACCCGATCTTGGCGCGAGCCACCAGAAATGGTTGGTTCAGTAACCCGATCTTGGCGCGAGCCACCAGAATGTCACGTCTGCTTTTGGAATGCACATTTTTTTGAAGGTTTCCAAGCGGTGCTTAAACCTGTATTGAGATAGGAAGGACCCCGTCTTATCTACACAAAATCTGCCTGTTATTGTACAACGTGTGGTTTTTCACGCAACTGTGTTAAACAACTATAATAATAATTAACATTGATGAAGCGCACTTAAAAAACAACCTTTCTCAGGGTACTAAGCAACTTTATTTAGCTGTCATGTTTCCAGTATAATTGAACTGGGATAATAAGCATTGCTTAGCATTGCCACAGGTAATGTTAAACTGCCTTAGTCCAAGAAGTTCATTATGTATGTATTTTTTTACATGTATTATTCTTATTGTTGTTTACATTACCCCAGTCCCTTCATTTAGGCATGTAAAGCACTTTCTATTCAATTCTTTGCACGAATTGTGCGATATAAGTAAAGTTTTTTTTTTATTTGAAGGTCAAAAAATTCGATATGACCTTGGCTAATGTGGGTGTATGGTTCAGTGAGTTCTTCTTGGTTCTTTCGGTAAAGTCACAGACGAAGGGAAGTAATAATTAGTATTACTTCCCTTCTACGTGACTTTACCGAAAGAACCAAGAAGATGAATCCCTGCAGTCACGAAAGCTTTAAATCGAAATTTCAGTGAGTTGTTGCGTGCTCAGTCCTCCGTTGTTTAAAACAAATGTCCTGTTCAAACAAACCAGTATGTCGTGTCCACAAAAGTGAGTTTCAAATCTGGTTTGAAGCACCCGGTTCCTTGGAAAACGAAAACCAGTTTCCACTAGGCAGGGCAGTGACAATAGTCGTGAACAAAGGATGGAAACTATTATCATTCAAGTGGTGTTATATTACAGGTAAACGATAAGGATCTGGTGAGAACTGACCATTGCAGCAACGTTGGCACGTAGGTCTTAGCATCAGTATATTATACTAGCCTTTTGCCCGTCGAAGGATGGGTGTATTGCAGTAAATCTAAAACTTGCAAGTGAAAAGCAGACCGCGACATGATATTCATTGCATCCATTCGTGTGGAATTTGTAAGGCCGCGGTAAAACCGCGGCCTTACAAATTCAAACATCGCTCCCTCCTTGTGCAAAAAACTCGGTAGGAACCTCCTGAAATAGGGTCACGAGACTCAGCCTTTCGTGGGCAAACAAGCGTAATAATGATAATCCCTTGTTCATCATGACGTCCTTTTAACTTCTATGTCTCAATAGTATTACGGAGATCGCGTGACGTGAGGGTTCTGCCTTTGTAGTGAGGGTTATAAGTTGATGCTGAGGAGGGGGGAGGAGGCGCCTCGCCCCCCCCCCCATGTGGTGACGTCACCCGCTTTCTTTTTTTAATGGGGGAGGGTGTCCATTTGGAGGACGTCACCTGTTCATGATTATTCATGAGGGAGGCTGTTCGATGTGGAGTGACATCACCTGCTCATGATTATTATTGAGAAGGGGGGGTTCTCCATGTGGAGTGAAAGTGTATAATAAAAATGCAGCGCTCTGCATCAGAAAATGCAGGACGAAACTGGAATTGTTCCACAGACGAATAAAATAAAACATTGCCGCTATCGCTGAGTAAGCTTTCGTGGATAGTTATGAGTAAAAACTGTACGAAAAATGTGTCACTTTGGAATATTAGTGTATCACATGCCCGTCAATATCTGGTCCATGAATGTAAAACTACATATATATTTTAAACAAGCACGTAGTTTAAATGGTAAGACAAGAAGTTTACAGAAATACTTTAAAAATAAACGTCTGGATGTGAATGATGCTGCTGAGTGAGAGTTTTCTAAATATTAAAGTGCGACATTCAACAGCAGTGGGTTGATGTCATGGTATTATGATGTTGATATGATGATATGATGTTAATACGATGTTATGATGTTGATACGATGTTATGCAAAGATAACAGATAAAGGGGAATGCAATACCAAGGAGAGTGGGGTATGGCACGGAATTTATTTCTGACCTCAATTTTCGATCAACGTTTGAGGTGTTGCAGAGTAGATTTAATATATTTTTTTATCAGGTTAAATTGTTCAGAGCATGTTCTGAACGGTTTTTGTTGTTGGAAAAAGGTTTACAGTAAGCATTGTATTTACAAAATCAGTTTTAGACAGAAATAATTATTTAAAGTTGCTTGCTCCAGTATTTGGCCTCTAAACAACGTCAGCGTTTGCATCGACACAGTAAATGTTCACACAAACTCTCACACCCGCACATCCGATAAGCATGGTTGGCTACGTACGGGGCGATGGAAATTCAACATACAAACATACATACAAACATACACTCGGTGCATCCGCAACCAATAGTCCAGTCATCTCTTACAGGCATATCGCTTTAAGTTGTGTCGCATAAACACGCCCAAAAGTGTGAAGTTATCAAGATGATTAAAACACGCTCAGGGCAGCTCTCATCGGCCTGAGTCAACATGGTTGATCGATCCCAGAGGGACGATGAGCCGAGTTGACTTCTCAACTGGGGTATGAACGAATTAACTTTAACGTTGTGAGTCAAGTAGAGCGGCGACCGACACCACGACATTTAAAGTGACCTTAATCAGTATCCCCCCTGTTAGGGCAGTGAAATGTAAACATTCAAAATAACATGCCATCGTCAAATGTGACGTAACCTGTCAACCCCTTTTCAGTGCCTACCTTATTACATTATTGGTCACCCTGTGCCCTTATAAATCTCAACGTTCATCCTACAAAGTCCAATCACAAGGGAGAAACACAAACATATTTTTTTTTGCTCGTATTGAAACTGCTAAATGCCGTATGGACCTGAAAACGCAATTGCCCTGTACAAGAATAGGGGGTAAACCGTATGGGTTGACAGCTATGGGGTGAGAAATTTAGTTTTTTCCGAATTTTTCAGATTCGACGGCTAAGCTTCATAATTTCATGTTTCTTTTAACACTGAGAGTGACCAATAATGATTCACGAAGCCGAGTCTACATATTTTTGCGTAAATTAAAACAATGCGCATATACTTAAGGAAACAAAAGAGACGTCACATGCATATGAAATATATGTACAACACGACTTACCAGGCCAGTTGAATGTCAGTCAGACCCGTCACCCTGAAACTGCTGCTGCCTTAATATACGAGCGAGTCTTCCCTTTACGCAAATTCGATGTTGCAGGTTACCAAACACGTTTTTCTCGTTTCTCTTGGTTGCGATTGTTTTTTTCTCTCTACTGGCAATTCATTTTACTTCGACCCAACGGGATGCCAGTCTTCTCCGGTTGTGTGTTTGTTTGCCCTGATGGTTCGTCCGTATTGTCTTATCTCGTTTTAAAATTAAGTATAACAGCAGCGGCATGTAACCTTTAACCCGTTCTTGTTACCACAGCGTACGAAATACTGTGCAACTATATATACTGTGCTTGCCTAGGATTACAACTGAGAAATACCTCTTTAAGAAGTTATTAATAATTACAGAATTTTTATTATTATTAACTGAAACAAGTTTTGAATAAGAAAAAAAAAGTTTCAACATGAATTCTTAAAATGTTATCCTCTTAAAGAAAACTCACGCATGGCTCAAATGTTGAAAGCAATGTGTTGTATTGTTAAATGCGTTCGCAAAAAATACACTCCACAATTCAAAGATTTTACTCGTACACACACACACTGGTTTTTGTCAATGTAGGTCCATAGTCAAGATCGCATACCTGTCGACCCACACGGTTTACCCCGTATTTTTGTAAAGGGAGATGTAGTTTTCAGGTCCATACGCCGTACAGCCATTTCAATACGGGCATATTATGTTTGTTTGTTTCTTGTTTGTAATGGGACTCTGTAGGATGAACGTTGAGATTTATAAGGACACTAGTGGGAAGTACCCGGCGTTGCCTGGGTCTTAAAAATATTTCAAAACTACTCTGAAAAATCTAACAGCAGTGCGTACTGACTGTGGTGGTACCTGCTATGATTACAACGGTGCATACTGTGGTGGTACCTGCTATGATTACAGCAGTGCATACCGACTGTGGTGGTACCTGCTATCACTATAGTAGTACATGCTGACTCTATAGCAGTATTTATCAACTCTATAGCACAAAGTATTCACCTGACAGTGGCGTGGTGAGGCCTAGTCCTGTGCAGAATCTCCGGCCTCGCCTAAATTGTCCAGCCGACCGAGGTGGCACCTTGACAGGCTGGGGCTGGGCTATTACCCCTGACCCCCCGCCCCCCCTAGCCACCATCTCCCCGGTCGTTCTGCAGTAATATCTTCGGCCTATAGTGGTAGCATCTAGCGAGTGTATAGTAGTAATAACAGCACGCATCGAGGTGGGGGGGACATCACACAGTGAAGAATTAACGTCAGCGTTTAGTGTATTTTTATAGCATTCTTAACGCGAAAGAAAATGTCCCCCTCACTCCCACCGAAGACGTGCGACTTGGCATGGGTCGTCCCCTCAACCAAAGGCACGTGAGTTGGTATGGTCGTGCACGCGTCATAAATAGATAAAACCGATAAGCGCACAAAAATCGGACTAAATTGCTAATTAAAAAATTTAAAGTTGACAGAAATGAAAAAGGAATAGCGCTTGCTCACCGCGGGGCTTACGGCTTGGTACCTGGCTATTTTTTTACGTAAATCCCACCGTTGGAGAGGCAAATCGTTCGCAAGCGCGCGAACAAACACAAACCCACAAACAAACCCACAAACAAACAATTTTTGACTTTGATATATATAGATTATATTTCGGTTTATATTTCGTTTCCCAAATGCAGGAATCGCCCTACGAGCCACACCATGTGTTACGCCGACGTCGATAGTGATGCTGATGACGTACCCATGCTCCACCCATAACCTCCCGTCCAGCGGCACACTTGGGAGCAGGTGGTAAAAACAAAAACAAATTCTCCTCGCAATGTCTCTGTGCTCAGATGAGTCCAATAATCGATCTAATGATCGGTAGAATAATCCGATTACTTAAGTCATCGGATCATAGCCCCAGCTAGAGTCATCGGTGAAGAATGACCGATGTAATTTACCTGCTCCAAAAACCATTGAGGCATTGTTTATCTCCCGTTTACAGTCCCGAGTCAAAGCTGGAAATGACACACTCCTCTGCCGAGGGCAAGTCTATCCCTGGGACAAACGCTTTACACTTTTTTCACCAAAGTGGTATTCGCTTTATCAACCCCAGAGAGGTGATGCGCCGAGTCAACCCGGAACCAGGGATGTGAACTCCCAAACCTTGCAATTGCAGTGTCGCCGAGCTTCGTGGTTGGGCTTTGAGCGAGGAAATAACGTCTGTGGGTGCCGAGTACATGACATCACTCGAGCGAAACGTTTTTTTTTGTAATAACCAGTGCCTCGAAAAAATTGTGCAATCAGGAAGAAAATGCAATGTATTGTAGGAGTACATGCGAGTGAGTGTGTGTGTGCACGCATGAGTGGATGCACATGTCATAACATTTCACGAGCAACACTAAAGGGCTGGTTTCGACACTTCCGTATGTGAATACAGATCGTGCGCTCTTGTAAGGGTCTTGTCGTTGATGGGGAGGGAAAATAACACGCTAGCATTTTGCATTCGGAGGGACAGACGTACGAAGGATACAGTAGCAGCCCTACTGCTGGTTGGTTGTTCCTGAACACCAGCAGGCTCGTTTGCTAACTGACATATGCATGAAAGCAAGACACGCGATAACTTGATTGTGAGAATTGTTACCTTAACATATATATTTTTTTTATTACTGTTACCGTGAGACTGTCTTCCTATAAATCCAACACACTGTTGCACTAAAATAATATAATATATATAGTCATCGCCTAACGTATTATTGTACTAGCGGTAAGTACCCGGCGTTGCCCGGGCGAAAAAGGCAGACACACATGTAGTTACACACACAAATGGACTCATACACACACATAGAGTTACACGCCCAAATCGACTCACACATACATATGTAGTGGTGATACGCGCTGGGATTAGGGATCGTATGCCAGCGCGTAATGATTGGCTGTGTATGTGGTGACGCGCGCTGACGGTGGAGGATCAGGGGTCAGCGCGGGGTCGTGGGTTACGGGGTACTGATTGGCTGTGGGCCGGTGACGCGCTGAGAGGGAGTGATCGGGTGGCAGCGCGGTGTGATTGGTGGAGGAGTGTTAACACGCGCTGGGGAAAACGGATCATAGAGAGAGTGCGTCGTGATTGGTTCACTAAGGAGCGATGCTCACGTCGACGTCCGCATCAGCTCCGTCTCTCGTGAGCAGGGGCTATAAAAGGGGATGCACACAGGCGTAAGGGCAGTATGTAACCAGCGAAGAATGAAGACGGGGATGAAGACATAGGGCCCTGCGGTACCTAGTCCCGCTGTCCTAACGGGACCGGGACTCTGTGTAACCCAGAGGCGAGTGTATTGTGTGTAGCCATAGGCATAGGGTCTACACGAGCCGAATGCATTGTGTGTAGCCAGAGGCATAGGGTCTACACGAGTCAAGTGTATTGTGTGTAGCCAGAGGCATAGGGTCTACACGAGTCAAGTGTATTGTGTGTAGCCAGAGGCATAGAGTCTACACGAGTTAAGTGGAGTGTATAGTCCAAAGGATAGAGACCACCTGTTGTATTGTGACACGTCAAGATTTAATAAAAGTGTGTTACCCGTCAAGAAGTTCCTGCCGTCAATTCCAATACTTCAACTGGCGTCAGAAGTGAAACGGTCTTCCAAGCATGGATACAAGGAAGACCCGTCGGACCCACGGGATTGACCGCGGGGACAACCTCGACGACTCGGGCCAGCTCGCATCGGGGGGTGAGGACGAGGAATTGCCCACGCTGCAGGATCCGCCGACGGCGCCGGACGAGCGACGGGGGACCGACGCCGTGCTCCGCGAGGCGCACTCCCGTCTGGCGGAGCTGCTGCTCGCCGCCGCGTCCATCCTGGCGGAGATCAGCTCGTCGGGAGGAGCGGGGACGGCGGCGGACGTTCTACAGGGTCGCCCCGCAGATTCCCGCCAAAATGACTTGGCGATTCCCGCCATTTCATCTGCGCCGACTTTTGGCGGGAACGGCCATCACCACGTGGCAGCGGTTCTCCAAGCGCGCCCGCTTACGTCACCAACGCGCGCTGCGGACCGCCATCAAACACCCGCCACTGGGGCCGCCATCTTACACACCGACGGGGCGGCGGAGAGGAAGCACGAGGAGGAGGACGACTTCATCTTTCAACAGCGCCTTCCCACGTTGTCAGCCTTCAAGGCGGAAGGCGGGGACTGGGGCCAATTTCAGCGCAGGTTTTTGGCGCATCAGGAGATGTCCGCCTGGTCCGACGCTACGGCACTGCGGGCACTGCCTGCCATGCTGGACGACAATGCGCTCGCGGCCTTCACGTCCGCACGCAGGTCGGACCGCTCCACGCTCAAGGATGCGCTGGCTCTCATGGCCAAGGTCTATGGTCCTCCCTCGGCGTGTCGCCATCATTTTTATGCAAGACGGAAGGCGGACACGGAGACCGTGCTCGCCTATCGCACGGCGTTGCTGGCTCTCGCCGACGCCGCGTTCCCTCGTATGGACGAGGAGGGCCAAGATGCGATGGTTTTGGAGCAACTGCTCAAGTTGGCGCAGGACCTGGGGGTCCCCATCAACACGGCCGACGAGACCGATATTTCTTCCTTACGGGTCGCTACGAGCATACAAGCGCACGAGGTCCTTCAACGTAAACAGGGGGTCGTCTGCAACGCTGCCGTGGCCTCAGCTCCGGGCCCGGTAGTCACCGTGCCCCAAGTCGTCAGCCCACGAGAGGAGGCGTTCATCGCGGGACGACCGGGGGACTGGTGGTCGGGGGGTCGTTCGCCTCTGCGATCGGCCCGCAAGCTGGAGCAACCGAGATCTCCGACGACTGTCATCACGTGTTATAACTGCGGCCTCCGGGGCCATGTGGCCTCCGGTTGCCGCGCCCCACGTCAGCGTGCCATGGGACCTCGGCTGGACGACGAACAAGGCCCCAAGTCATCCCTACAAACCCCGGCAAGTCGCGGCACCTCACATACTCGGCCCGCATACTCGACACGCATGGGCCGTCGCGTTGCGGCGGAGGAGAGCCGAGTAGGGTTCGGGGATTCGGTTCGGCGAGGGGGGTTCGGCCGGGACCGGGGAGACATTAAATGGTCGGAGTTGGGGCACAGAATAGTGGCTGCCTCAGCGG